TCTCCAACAGTCTTTCTGCAGCATACCAGCACTGTACCTTCTACAGTAAAAACTCCTGGAAAAACTATACCTCCAACAGTAGAAACTCTTGTAAAAACTATAACTTCTACAATGAAAGCTCTTGGAAAAACTCAAAAACAAACTCCTAGTCAACCTATTAAAGGTACAGTATATACAATACTGGTTTTTCAGTACCCCTGGGATTTAATGTTTTGAGATCAAGTATGTTGTCACTCCGTAAGCTATGGTTACCTTTACTTTTTCATGGCTATGTGCAAAAACAGCTATGGGTGTGTGCACTAGTAGTCAACAGCTGTAACTATTAATACAAATTTAATCGAAACCCACAGTTCTGCTATGTGTCCTTAGATGCATAAAAAGGAAGTTTTTATTTTTAGTGCATTCTGTTTTGGTTTCTCTTTTTCAGATTCAGCACTTTATGTTCTTTTTGCCGTTCCCCCTGTTCTGCTGCTATTGATAGGCATCCTTGTGGTTGTAGTTTACAAGTGGAAACACAAAGTAAAAGGTATATTTTACATTCATACACATGCACAAAGTCATCCACTCAAAAGTGCATGCAAAAAGAGCATAACCATGTTTTCTGCTGTGTGTTTTCAGAAGATGAAACCACAGTGGACAGAAATACACCCAAGGGAGAAGGTTTAGAGGAAGTGATGGGTGCAATGGAAAATAATGTAAGAAAACTAAAGTACAAAGTGTGTTATATCTATAACATGTCTCACCATAAACATATGGGGTTATGCAAAAAACAATTCTTGTGTTTAATACAATACCGTGCAAAAGTCTCGAGTCATTTATAATTTATGTTTTGTTTAAAAAGGCCCAGACTTGTAATTTTTCTAAATTGGTATGTTGCTTCAACCATGATAGAATCACACTTGCTGCAGAGCTCTCTGTGTACTTTGAGAACAGTTTCCCATCAAAAGTCTCTATTTTCTGCCTTTTTGCTTGCTTATTACAAACCATTTTTAATTATTTAATTATTTTTCTCCAAAAATGACCTCTGACAAAGCCTTATTTCTGCTATTCAATGCTGAAGAAATTTAAACTTCCAAATTCTGCCAAACTACAAAACCTTCAGCTATGTCCCTAATAAAACCTCTGTAACTCTGATTTGCTGAGGTGAAGCAGAGCAATCTTTGCCCAGGTAATGTCCATATATTGATTTGTGGGTTCTTTCAGTTTTTAATCTACTGCAGCATATTTTTAGGGGGTTATATGCTATAAAAGACCAGGCCAGGAAAAACTTCTGTATATTTTTTTAGTTTTCTTTTGATACCAAGATTGTTTACAGAGTTTGTATTTGCAGAGAAATGGTCAATTCACCATTGGAATGTGATTTTTAAACAGGAACCTCAGAAACATCCCTGGGGCTTAACAG